CCCTGCCTGAAGTCCACAGGTAGGAATTTCCTCCCCTTTTCTCGCATGTGTCCTGATCCCACGTTCGCCAACACGGGCCACACTCCCCAGCCCTCTCTCTTACTCGTGTTAACCTTTACGTTCGGAATGACCTTTATTTCGGATGGAATTGTTGTCCTTAAGGCCAATCTCAGAAACCAACTTCTCAAGAGATCCTTTCTCGATATCAGGAAATAGATGTGACTTCCAACAAGCGGTCTTATTTTACGTGGCCAAACTCTGCGGGACAGGTTGACACTTCACAGCTGAGGGGCCTGAAGCTTAGGACTAGAGGCTTTGAGAATGAACAGACAGAATAAACCCTCAGGTCCGGAAGCAGAGTGAATGCCAAGATGTGCTAGTAGATGCTTAACAACTGACTCTCCCTTTATTTATTTATTTTTTTTAATTTTTTTTCAACGTTTTTATTTATTTTTGGGACAGAGAGAGACAGAGCATGAACGGGGGAGGGGCAGAGAGAGAGGGAGACACAGAATCGGAAACAGGCTCCAGGCTCCGAGCCATCAGCCCAGAGCCTGACGCGGGGCTCGAACTCACGGACCGCGAGATCGTGACCTGGCTGAAGTCGGATGCTTAACTGACTGCGCCACCCAGGCGCCCCCTGACTCTCCCTTTAAATACGAAGCCCTACTTTATAGCAGTTGCGGGTGTCCATAGAGTTTCCTACTGCAGTGGATTTCAAGCTGCGGATGGGATGTCATGGGAGTTTCTAGCTCACGAGGGCTGTTTTTTACACCAGGCCCTGGGGTGACAGTTGGTTGACTTGAACCTGTCATCCTCTTCCCTCAGCTCTTTGATACCATTAAAAAAAAATCTGACTCCAGAATCTTTAAAAGTACCATTTTCCCCATCTCCAATGCTAGAGAGATGGCCCAAGCCGGGCCCCCCTCCCTCCACGTGTCCTCTCCCACTTTGTCCTATCCACCTGCCGCTGCACCCGCCAGCATTGAGACCACCCCACTCCCATCAGCAACGGCCCCTCCCTGCCATTTGGCTGGTGAGCCATCCAATTCCGGGGCCCCATCCCTAGGACCTGCTTTACATGACCGAGCCTGGGGTAACTGTCTTGGTTCCAGTGCCCCGGAAGCAGACCCTAAGACATAAAATTGAGAGGGGACCCCAGCAAACGGCACAGGGGGGTGGGGGCAATGGGACAAGGCAGGTTGGGATCCTGTAGAGGCTGTGCTATCAGGCAGATTTCTAGTTAACTGGCTCTCAGGTCGGGACCATGGAGGCTAGTGTTGAAGTGCCCTCCCTTCCCCCACTGGGGAGCAAGTCGCGGGGCCTTATCCACTTACACCAGGGGTTGAGGTGCACTCAGGAGGGGGTGTTTCCCTGGGACTGCAGGGCTTCCCCAAACACGGGCAGGGCAAGCTCTGGTGGCCAGAAAACCCGCAGGCAGATCACCTTGGGGTCTGGCAGTTGGAGGATGGTCCAGGGAGCAGGAAAAGGTTCATTTCAAAGGCTTGTGGGCTTTGCCTAACAGACCTGTTACACCCCTAATATTGTGAATGCTGTGGATGGTTTTCCGGTCAATCTACAAAGTTTGAAAGATGTAATTAGGGAAAGAATGTAAATTCTTGACTATAAAAACAAGAATCAAACTGACATTAGGACCGGTGATGTGGGGGAGGGAGGGGGCGGGGAGCCGAGAGAGTGCAGATATGCTAATTTCCACATCTCCCAGGGCGGGGAGGCAGCAGGTCATGTGTGAAATGGACAAATGATGAGTTAGGTAGACAGTTCAAAGTCACACAATCCCCACCAGTGAAATGAAAAGTAACACAATTTTAAGAATTAGGAGTTGGAAGATAAAGTTTTATTCTTTGGAAGACACCATTCCTGGTTGGGTCAAGATGTAAGTGTATAGCGTTTAGACTGATATGAAAAGAACCAGGGGAACTAAAAACAAACTTTATGGTGGTTGGGTCTAGGGTGTGGTCCTGGGTGGTGGGTAGGTGAGCAGGAAAGATGTGAACACTTTCAGTTTTAATATTTTCCCATTTTGTTTGGATTTTTTGGGTAGATTCCTCAACAACTATTTTATAAATACTTAATGATGAATAACCTGAGTGTCAGGACAATTGTATTTTGCTAGATAAGATTTTCTTTTTCAGTTCCAGTTGGTTAACGTACAGCGTGATATTAGTTTCGGGTGTTCGATATAGTGATTCAGTCCTTCCCTACCTCACCTTGTGCTCATGACAAGTGTATTTTGTTCGGATTTGTCATCATCAGTACGCATTACTTCCACGGTAACCAAAACAAATTCAAACACATCCTAGCGTAATTACAAAAACTAGTATTTGGAGCACGCTTACACCGAATACTATGCGGGAATTAAAGAATGAGGTAGAATCTATGCGTACATAGAACCTATGTGTACAAAATCAAAAGATAGTCAGGACTTATTAAGTGAAACCAGTAAATTAAAAAGTAAGCGTAGGATGAAAATTATGGAAGGGGAGAAGTATGTGTGTATGTAACATTTCTATATACAATTTTATTTTATTTTTTTTAATGTTTATTTATTTTTGAGACAGAGAGAGACAGAGCATGAACGGGGGAGGGGCAGAGAGAGAGGGAGATACAGAATCCGAAGCAGGCTCCAGGCTCTGAGCCATCAGCCCAGAGCCCGACGTGGGGCTCGAACTCACGGACCGCGAGATCGTGACCTGAGCCGAAGTAGGACGCTCAGCCGAGTGAGCCACCCAGGCGCCCCTCTATATACAGCTGACTGAGCCACCCAGGCACCCCTCTATATACAATTATAAAAGACGCTACTGGTGGGGAGAAGAGGCGACCCAGTGAGACCCAGTGAGGGTCCCAGGGTGGGGTTCTAGAATCTGCACTTTTTCTTACCAGTTTCCTCATAGTTCTGGATTTCCTCACCTTCCCAACACGTTATTGCAAAACTATGGAAACATGCAGAGTGTGAGGAACGGCACAGCAGCATGTTGAACGTTTGCGTAAACTGCATTGTACCCCAGTGTAAATATGCACTTTCTCACTGTGCACATGTGCATATTCACACATACACACATGTATTGTTAACCTCAAAAACAGAAGTCACAGGGGCGCCTGGGTGGCTCAGTTGGTTTAAGTGTCCGACTTTGGCTCAGGTCAAGGTCTCCTGGCTCCCGCATTGGGCTTCTTGCTGTCAGCCTGTTAGGTCCAAGCTGCTTCTGATCCTCTGTCCCCTTCTCTCTCTGCCCCTCCTCTGCTGGTGCTCACTCTCTCGATAAATAGATAAAACATTAAAAAAACTAGAAGCAAAAAAAAACCAAAAAACCCACACAAAGTAGAAGGCAGTTATTTTCACCAGCAAAAACGGGTTTATTTGGGAATAACAGAGAATTGCAATTTAGGACATGCAAACCTCGGCAAAACCATAGTAAGTCCTCCAAACAAAGGACGGAAAGTTATTTTGTGGAGAAGTGGGGGGATTGGGAGGGGGTGTTTTGAACCAAAGTCCTCTGGAGAAAAGCAGGAGTTCAGGGTGGTGATGATTTCTCACTGGCTGAAACTACAGCAGAGGCTGATTTTTTCTAGACGATGCAGTGCAGTTTTCCTTGTTGGGGCCTATGATTGATGGTTCTTTCCTGTTGACCACGTTTCTCTTGAGACCTGCAACTGACAATTCTTTCTATAATTGACACTGAATAGTAAGTCTCCCAGTACCTCCTTTCAGTATATCCGGTACATGCTCCCGGGCTCTCTCCCTATGACATGCGCGCGCGCGCGCGCACACACACACACACACACACACAC